GATCAACTCCATCATGGTTCATATAGCCTCAAGAATGAGGTACTCAGAAGGAAGTTCTGTTTGGAGCCCATTCTGTGAGACCCTCTATTCCAAACTTCCAGATGAAAGGTGTCTGGACCTCAGATCTTATCCCAGAGCTGGAAGTCCACCTGAAGAATGTGTGTAGCTATGTATGTCCATGTGTGATCATGTGTATGTGAAGCAGGGAACATGTGTTTTCTATATGTATGTATGAATGCAGGTGCCTGGGGAGTATGTGTGGGTTGTTGGCTCTTGGCCTCGCCCCTTTGGGGGGTAGTGCTGTAAAGCTATGAATAAAGAGAATGAGGACATTCTTGGAGATCACTGAGATTATTGTCCAAAGTTGCTTTATTATTTTGGCTGTTGGGGGCTCCAACCCACTTTCCCTAGCAGCCCAAAATTCAGGTTGGGTTGAGTCCCCCGGTGTCTCCTCCCTTGGTGCTCAAACCACTGAACCAGACTACGGTTCTGGGGATGGATGCAGACACTGCGTCGAGCCAGATGAAGCCTAGGAAAGGAGAGTTCCAAAGTTATGACTATAGCTTGGGGATGAGGTTAGGGTGCAGGGGTTAGGGGCAAAAGCCAGAATAAAGTCAGCATTGGAGCTGGCAGCTGGGGCTGGAGTTGGAATTGGCATCAGGGCTTGGGTCTGAGATCAGAGCCAGGTGTATCAGGTGTGGGTTCAGAGCTCACACAAAAGCTTGGAGATGACAGTCCCCATCAGCCTTCTGCAGTTCTACCCGGATGACCTTCCTCAGTAGGTTGTTTGAGAGTGGCTGTCGGTAGAGCTGGGTACAGCAGGTAGTACTGGGTGGCAGTAGCACTGCTAGGGGACAACAGGACCATGTATTCAGAAGGGTCCTTCAGACATCTGGATGTTGAGTTTCCTGGGCCCCTTCCCATTCATCCCATTCATTCTCTATCTCCAAGTACTCACCTGCTCCAGTGTCTGGGCTCAGAAGCAACAATAACAGCAGGAGGCTGCTGGTAGGTGAGGGCCTCTTCATGTTGCTCAGCCTGGATACTGCCTTCTCTCTCCTCCCTTACCTTTTATCTGCATGCTTTTTACCTGGGGCTCCAGGTGAGTCAGAGGTAGGTGGAGAGGAGCTGTTTATCCTGTGACATTCTTTGCCCCTCTTTTTTGGTCTATTGCCACAGATCCCTTTCTCTTGTAGGATTGCTATTTCCCATGGGCTCCTATGCCCTGGGCAGAGAAGATAGGGAACAGGGTAGTGCATGATGTGGGGACTGATGGTGTGCACTGACGAGGCAGCCAAGGACCAACATTGCATCCAACGACAGACATTCATACTCACACCCTTAGCCACACATTCACAGTCACACCTTGATCATTCAATCAGCGTCACAAAGTCATACCCATCATCACATAGACAAAACCATACAGCCTTGGTTATACTAAAAATCCCACTTCCATACAGTTGTTTTCACAATTTTCCAACCATACTTACAACCATTCTTGTACTCGTAGATTCTGATAGGGGAATTGTGGGTGTGGTGGGAGCAAAGGGCAGGCTAGCACCAACTTGCCTTGATCTTCCCCTCCCCACTTTCTGCCCTGGCTTGCCTGCCTTATCAGGAGAAATGATGGGACTAGGTCCCTAATGCAGGCCCTTCTGGCTGAGGAGGGGTCTTGGCTGGGAACAGCTATGTTCAGTGTAACTGGCAGAAGGCCCTATTGGGTATTGAAGTTGCCTTGGAGATGCAGAGGTGGGGGCTTTCCCAGAGAGATAAGATAGAGAGGAAAGTTGGGGGGTGGATCAGGAGGGAAGATAAAAAGCTCTTTGGTGACAGGTTGCTATTGTCAAAGCACATGCAAGACCCAAGAAATTGTACCTTCCTGTTTTTGTCTAGTCCTGTTCCAGGAATGTCAGCCTCTTCCCAGTAGGGGTCTGGGGTTTCTAGGCTCAGTCCCTTGTTTGTTGGAGACATCAGCCTCAAGAACTTAATTGAGTAGAACTATTTTGTTCTACTCAAATCCCAGTCTCTTTCCACTATGGGCCTGGAGGAACATCCTCCCTCCCCACCTAGGTTCAGTAATACCCTAATCTCCAACCTCTGCACCCTCTGCATCCAGTCTTCCTGCTACAGCCCTAACTTCTCATCTCCTTCCCATCCCTCTCTCCTAATTTCATGGTCAGACTTCATTCCTCTTCTCCTTCCCCTCCAGGGCAAAACTCCTACCCTTCCTCACTCAGTCCTTTCCAGGAAGCTGGGAACCACCCAGGGTGGGGCATAGGTGGGCACATGTTGCTGGGTTGAACACCCTTGGCTCCTTGAGGAAGTTCTACTCCTGTTTTGGGGATTTCTACCTTCATGTCTGGCTCTGTATTTGGAACATAAACTAAGTCATACACCAATAATACTCCAGTCCTCCTCTAGTTATTGCAGGTATGGTATCTGCTCTAGGGCCAGCCACCCTCTATGGGGTAGGCTTTCCCTTGGACTGGACTCACACCTTCCCTGGGCAGCCTTTATCTGCTGCAGGGCTGGATCAACAATCAGAAGGGACTTCAGTTCCCAAAGAAGGGACTAAAATCTCTCCACTGAAAACTCTCCCTCCTGTCTTGGGATAGACTTAAAGACTCCTCTCTGGAATTTGTCTCAAGGATCTTCAGGTCTTGATAGCATCTTGGTGAGGTGTGGGCCTAGGGCAGGACAGGGCACTCTACAATTGAAGGGTCTTGGATGTAGACATGGAGAGGAAATGGTTCAAGAGTTTGGATGCTTTCTTAAAGGTGACCACAACCCAGAGGTCACTTACCTTAAACTTCTGGTACCCAAAGCTTTCAGGTTCCCTCCTACAGTTTACTCTGGACTTGTGTCCAGCCTGGGTGCAGCCACTGAGAAATCCCCCAGGTGCTATCATCTTGTCATAGACCTTCTCTATCAGGTGGCTGCCTGCTACACACTTTGTGGTCTTTCCCGGACTTGTCAGTCCAGAGACCTTTTTTTTTCTTTTTTTATTTGAGAGGTTTTCGCTATAGGGCGTGTGCGCTCGCCAGACAGAGACATAGAGACAGAAAGTGAGAAATCACCCCCAGGGGGGATGGCCACACCGCAATCCCTTCTCCTCCATTCTCCTCTCGGGATCTTGGGCACGCACGCACACACCCCCGGCGTGAGTTTTAAGCCACCGGTCCGGGACGCGAACTGCGGTCAACTAAGTCCAGCGACATAGCCATTATGCTAACTGCTGATTCCTGGTCCAGAGACCTTTTGAAGGCAGGGAATAGGTGGGCACATGTTGGGAATGAATTCTTCTGGGTATCCCCTTATTTTTCTCCTCTGGCTTCTCCAAAAATAAGGCCAAGTCTTCTTTTCAGCCACGACCTGCTGTGGCAGAGGGACTCCCAGCCTGAAAGTCAACTAGCTTTGGCCCTGGACAGAAATTGGATTATTTAACTTAATCATTGCATGTCCTTTCTGGTGCTATGGCCAGTCCCTGACTGAAAGGTCCACAAAGCAGCCAGTGACTCTCACCACTTTAGGAGCTAGAGGGTATAGGGCTGACTGGGTGATAAGAGTGAAAGGGATGGCAGGGAGAAGTGGCTCTCAAGACTCTCCAGTGAAGGTACAGTAGAAAGAACTGTTAGGTAGGCTGATGCCAAGTATCTCTAGACCTGGGATCAGAGTGAAGGAGCCAAAGTTGGGAGTATAGGTAACGTCCCTAAATTCACTGCTCTGTGGCAGGTTGAGGAAGGCAGTTTTTAAGAATCTTCCCTTCTCAGAGCCTACTTTCTACACCTAGGTTAGAATGTTTTAGAGCTCTCCCAGGAAGAGCAGATTCTTCAGACACCTAGCAAAGTCTTGGCTAGGAGGACGTCGGTAACAGAGTCCAGGCTGTGGGAACACATAGTGTGGGGCTGAGGCTGAGAGGAAGAACAGACCAAGACTAAGTTCTCTTCACACAGACTACTTACAGTGATGGGTGTTTTTTTTGGGGGAGGGGGGTTGCACGAGGGGAAGCAGTCACTAATAGGAACAGGAAGCCTGACGCTGCTGAGGGGCCCTTAGGAATAACGGGGGCCTTCACATGCAAGGGCACCCTATGGGGGAGGAAGACCCTGTCTGAAGGAAACAGTGCCAGTGTGAAGAGGGGCTCCCAGCCCGAGTGGTGGCAGCGGCGACAGTCAGGAGGGCAGTACGTGGGCTTCGGTTTAAATCTTTAATGCACCGGCTGGCTGGCCAGCGGAGGCGGGGGCGCGGCGGGGAAGGCCACGACCCGTGCGCTGGGGAGCAGGGCCCAGGCCGCTCGACAGACAGCTCATCAGGCCCCGCAGAGGCTCCAGCTTCTGCTCCCGGGGGTGCGCCGAGCTGTGGGGCGACCCGACAATGCCATGAGGCAGGGCGGAGGTTCCCGAATATCCCCCCAATTCGTCCTCCGAGACGGAGGGTCGTCCCTCTCCTCGGCCATGCCGCGCTACGCAGCCCCCTCACCTCCGCTCCCTCCGCCACATGCGCAGCCAGGGGAAAAAGTAGAAACAGCCCCAGTAGATCCTGCGGAGAGAACGCAGAGCCGGGCCGGGCGGGGGCGGGGCTGACCCCGCAGACCCCGCCCCCAGGCGCCTCGCCCTCGAGGACGCCCCGCC